TGGCAACATCATTAAAGAAAAAAGTGAGAAACTCTGAGGGGAGTAAAAAATAACATTTATGTAAATAAAAGAGTAACATTCCCAGCAATAAGTAGATAGAGATTATAACCATTTAAATTAAGAGAGAAATATATACACTAAACACGGTCTGTGTTAATTAATCTACTCTAAATAACTATGTTAAGGTAGATATTTTCATCTAGTTACCTTACTCAATGATATTCACTGATTAATTTATGAATGTTTTAGCACAATCAGAAAACAGGTAAATTTATTTCATATATATTACTGTCACTAATTTTATTAAAAAATGTGGGTAAGAGTAAACCTATATATTCATCATGCATCTTCATTAAAAACACAAGTTTGGATGGCTCGCACACTACTTCACAAAAGATGTTCTAGCTCTTACAAAAGGTCTAATTTGTTCTGCTATGTGATGCTATAATTATGCTAAAAATAATAAGATCATATTGTTGGGGGAGCAGAATCCCACTACACTTCAATTTAATTAGTTTATTTAAAATAACTCTCCCCCAACTCAGATTCGAATGACTATTTTTAGACTTAAATGCCAAGATTCTGAATGACTATTTTTAGACTGAAATGCTATATAGGTGATAGATGAGATTAATATTCTTACCTTGAAGTACACCTTTCCCCTGCCTCTAACCTATGACTGACTCCTTAAAATGGTTTAAGTTTTGTTTGTTTGTTTTAAGGAAAGTACCATTGCCAAAGTCAGCTCTCACTAATATCACAATAAGAATCAAAATATTCAAGGTACGAGGGACTGGAAAGCTACAAGACATATAAAAAAACAAACAGCAAAACAACAGAAGTCCCTCCTTATCAGTAATTACTTTAAATGTAAATAGATTAAACTCTCCAATCTGATGTCAGAGATTAGCATAATGAATGGATCAAGAAAAAAAGAAAAAAAAAAAACATGACCCAACTATATGCTCTCTAAAAGACTCACTTTAGATACAAAGGCACAAATAGATTGAAAGTGAAAGGATGGAAAAAGATATTCCATGCAAACAGTAACCTAATGAAAGCAGGGGTGATTATACTAAAGACAAAATAGACTTTAGATCAAAAAAATGTTACAAGGAACAAAGACAGACACTATGTATTAATAAAAAGTTCAAGAGAGCAAGGAGATTTAACAAGTATAAATATTCACACACCTAATAACAGACCATCAAAATATATGATGCAAAAATTGACAGAATTAAAGGGAGAAATAGACAATTCTACAATAATAGTTGGAGGCTTCAATATCCCATTCTCAATAATAGATAGAACAAGCAGAAAGAAGAAATTGAGGACTCAAACAACACAATAAACCAACTAGAGATAACAGACATACATACATAAAACACTCTACCTAACAACAGAATACACATTCTTCTCAAGAGCACATGGGACATTGTCCAGGATACACCATATGTCAGGCTACAACTTTAAGTTTCAATAGACTTAAAAAGATATTATACAAAGTACCTTCTCCAACCACAAGATAAAGTTAGAAATCGATAACAGAAGGAAAACTGGAAATTTTACATACTTGTGGAAATTAAATAACACACTCTTAAGCAACCAATGAGACAAAGTAGAAATCACAAGCGACATTAGAAATACTTAAGAGACAAATGAAAACAAAAACACAACATAACAAAATCTATAGGATGCAGAGAAAGTGAGACTAGGGAAATTTACAGCTATAAACACTTACATTAAAAAAAAGATCTCAAGTCAACGACTAACTTTACACCTTAAGGGACTCGAAAAAAGAAAACTAAACACAGCTAGCAGAAGAAAATAAAAGTTATGGCAGAGATAAATGAAATAGAGGATAGAAAAATAATAGAGTAAAGCAATGAAACCAAAAGTTGGTTCTCTGAAAACATTAACAAAATTGACAATCCTTTAGCAGATTAACTAAGGAAAAAGAAAAGACTCAAAAGCTCTTTGGGGTCCTCAATAACTTTTTAAGAGTATAAAAGGGTCCTGAGACTAAAAGTTTCAAAACATCTAACTTAAAGAACAGAATATTAATATTAGGTTCCTACAAACCAAGAGCAAGAAATACATAAAACCATTAAATTAAAAAAAAACTTTCCTAGGAAAATTACATGAAAGCTGAAAAGGAAGACAATGTCAAATCAAAACTAACCTCATTCTATGTAATATCAATAATGAGGAAAACAAAAAAAAAAGAATGCTCAGATGAAAGTAGTTTTGTATATCCTGGAAATATGCAATATCTTGATCAACTAAACACATATATACCCATCAATAGTTTGATAGATAATATTTTTTATAGCATCACATGACAGTCAAAGAAATGCAATCATATACTCAAAAACAGGTGATTAAAATAGCAGCCACTACCACGAGGGAGACAATCCAAGGTTCTGTCAGAAGGGACATACAGGGATACTTCAGCTTCTCTCCAGCAGCATCTCAGGACACCTCGCTCAGAGTCCAGCTGTTCTATTTAAAACTAGATTATATGTTTCCAAAGCAGGACAGTAAGACTAAGCTCTCACTGAGTCTCAAAGGAGCGAATGGGTCTTAGAGGAATTGATCTGCGCTAATAATGCTCCATCAAACCAAAGTCCTTCTTCAGCTTACTAAATCCCTTGAAAAACTGAAGAAAAGCAGTAGCAGTAATATTTACTGAGCACTTAACTATGTGCCAGGCTAAGTACTTTATGAGTATTAGCTCATTTAACATTCAATATCATCTGAAAGGTATAACCACCATTATCCCATTTTTGGAGTTGAGAAAATTGAAGTACAAATAAGATAAATATCTTGATTCTTTGCAAACAAGCAAAGCCAGGATCCAAACCTAGCCAGTCTTGCTCTGAGGCCCAACCCCTTAGCCACTACATTACAGGATACAGATAATGTAACCAACAATAATATATAAAGTTTAAATTCAGTGCCAGCTCTAAACAATTTCTGTTTACACCAAGACCCACTGCCTAAGGGAAGTTCCCAACTTGCAGAGAGCATTCTGACAGGTTCATCCTTTACTAGTGACGCACTGTTCAACTTCTAGATACTGAGGGGTTTCAAGCAAGAAGAGTAAATGTTGGAAGGTGAACACTGTGGAGATATTTTTTTAACATAAAAAATATGTCAAATAAATAATTGTAGAATACAAATTAGATAATTTCACAACTCTTGGACCTCTTTTCCCTCTGCTATTGGAGATAAAACCATTATATCCTAGCTAGACTGTTCTAAGGAAAATAACGCCTCAAGTCAATTGGAAAAAGCTTTATAAAAATTGCTTCCCTTAAATTACATTAATATACTTAAATGTTCTGTAGTGTTGGCTAACTACAAGGTTAACTCTAAGTCTACCCCATTCATTTCAGAGTTCTGAGTGAGACCGCAGTTCTAAATGTGTGTGGAAGCAATTCAAGGCAGAGTTCTGAGGTCATTAAAAATGAACTTAAAACTTCACTATAGAACTTAACTCAAGAAAAATGGAATATGAAACTGAATAAGTCACATTACAACTCTGCTTAAGGATGAGAAATAAGGAGTGGTTAAGAAACCAATAACTATCTCAGTAATTACACAGGACATGCTTACAGCGATTCCAGAGTTCGGTTTGAAGTTTGGCACACGTTTTAAAATATGTACCATTTAAAGTGCCTTAAATAAACGACTACTTTTTTGGTCTACTGAACTGAAAACATTCCACAATACGATTATAAAAATAACTTTCTGGCCTTCTCAGGAAAAAAGACAATTTAGAAGAGGAATTCAGAGATTTGAGAAAGTGATAACTTGATTTACATTAAGATTACAACACAGGTAAAACATAAGTGAAAATGAGTGATCAAAAGATTGTTAAAGTCCTTTATAACTACAAATTGCCATGCATTACAAACATCGCTACAATTTTGAATCCCAAACGAAAAAAACACTCACACAGAATTAATAATGCCAAAGAAAATTTTCGGTAAGTGCCAAAACGTATTAGGTCAACAGCAGTGCTAGACCTTAAGGCACTTGAGCAAGCTATATAAAAACAAGAAATGGGCTTGAAGTTCTCTACATTTACCTCAATTATACTAAGATGTATTAAAACCCCATTCTATACGAGTAATGCCCAGGAAAGGAAACAAACTACACTGGTACTAATAGGTTTAAACGACACAAGGCGGGGCGGGGATGGGCGGGGTAAGGAGGGAGACAAGCAAGCCTTTGAGTAAGGGTTGCAGAACTGCTTGAGTTGCACGCTTACAGTTAAGAACCCGCAACTCAGGAAGGAAGACTGTAGAGAAACTCTGCACTGTCATCTAGGACGATCTGATTCAAGTTCAAATCAAACCCACAAGGCGACAAGTTGTAAACAGAGAATACACTTCAGGCCAAAGCACTCACTGAGAGAAAGCAAACCTAGCCATTGCTGATGTTACACCACACCCACCCCACGTAGAAGTTCGGCACACCTAGGGGGTGGGTGCTGGGGTGGGTACTGGGATGGGTGGAGAAGCGAGGCGCGCGCCCCTGGCCCGCCGCCCCCCCTTGGCTCTGCTCCGCGCTGCACCGCGGCGACGCGCGCTCGGGGCCCGAGAGAAAGGGCAGGGCAGCGGGGCCGCCTCTGCTAGGAGACCGCGCCGAGGATCCTCCGTGGCGATGGCGGGGAGGGGGGGATGCAGAGTGTTCGTAGGTAGGAACGGGATGGAGCGTTTTCCAGACACTAGCAAAAGCCCCAGCCCATCAAGAGATTTAAGATCCAGTCCACCCCGCAAAGACACGCGTTACACAACCTGTCAGGTGAAGAACGGAGGGTCCCAAGGCGCAGACCGCGGCGGGCCTGGGGTTGCTCTTTCCCACCCTGTCCTGCCCCCGGGACGCCGCAGCCCCGGGAAACCAGAGGGGCACCGGGTGGGCGGGAAAGCCGCGGGAAGTCCACGGCCGAGGGTCGGCCAGCCCGGACGTGCGGACGGCGGCGGGGCGCTCACCGGCTCAGGAGAGGGCGCAGGCAAGGACTGCGCAGAGCCGCATCACCCGGCTCGGCGCCCGCAGGGCCAGCGGCTGCTCTCTGGGCGTACGGCGGATCTCTCGCCGCCCGCCGCCGGGTGTTTTCATACAAACCCCGGTGGCAGGCGAGGCAGAGGTGGCGGCGGCGGCGGCGG